TAAGTTCTTGCACTCTTAGTGTCATGTTTAAATTGAACCCTATAATTAAAAACCTGAGGAGTGGGCAGTTCAGTTTAAATTTCTCAAAAGAGCAGATTTACCTGAATAATTTAAGTGAATGGTGTGTGTTTACGTTCCCTTCTGAAAGCATCTACAGTATTCTAGGCCAGGCACATACAGTGGTACCGCGGGTTACAAACGCTTTGGGTTACAAACTCTGCTAACCCAGAAGTAGTACCTTGGGTTGAGAACTTTGCCTCAGGATGAAAATTTCACGATGGCGGGATCGGGAGACCCCACTAGCGAAAGCACGCTTCAGGTTAAGAATGGTTTCGGGTTAAGAACGGACCGAATGAAGCTCGTAACCCAAGGCATCACTGTATTTGTGGCACTATATGCCCTGGGGTAAAATCCTTTAAAAAAGCTCAACAACTGGGGTAAATTTGTAAAAAAAAAAGCTCAACAACTTTGGGGTTGAATCCCCTGTTCTAGGCCAACCCAAAGGCCTGATGCTAGTCCATGGGAGTTGCTCTTGTTTATACTGCTGTTTATTCAGTAGATATAAAAGCAGTAGTGCAAATTGCAATAAGCAGTGGAACTGGATCTTTGCAGCACATGTAACATTATCATAGCCCTGCTTCAAATCCAAATTTGTAGTCTTCACCAGCCATAAGAGTTGCAACCTTGGTAAATAATCAAATCAAGCCTAGGCACACCTAGTTTTTGCAAATTCAGTTTAAAGTAAGTACTAAAGTACTAAAATTCAGTTTAAAGTAAGTAAAGTAAGTACTAAAGAATTACTCCTAAGTAAGTTTCACAGGAATTCACTTTAATTAAGGAATTTGTCTTAATTAAGGAAATCTGCTTGAATATCTGGATGAGGGATGTCATATGGCAGAGATGGTGAGCCAGTGTCGCAAAGGCACTTGCAGCAGCCCACCAGCTCTCTTTCAGATGGAGGTATCTTTTCTGCCTCTGGCGTAATGCAGTTTTTAGTAGGCCTTAGTGTTTGGGAAACAGGGGAGTGCTTAGAGTAGACCTTCTAGGAGTGGCTCCATGCCAGAGGGAGAAGAGGCATCATTGTAAGTAAGTCGGGGCTTCCTTGCAATCACAACACTAGCCTGTGGAGGAGAGGTTCCTCTTGTAGCCCAGCACTATGATGCTCTTCAGAGACTGATATCTCTGAAGAACAGAGACAGTGCTTTTATTCTCTGTTGGAGTGCTAGGCTGATCAGCAGAAAGGAGGGGTGTGCTGCTTGAATGTTTCTGCCTGCCTCTCTGAGTGTACCTATGTGTGTGATGAGTGTGTGCATGTGAGTGTACAATGGCATGCAGTCCTTGAGGGGGACGGTGATGATACTACAGTATAAAAATTTATCACACACCCTTCACTCGAAGTTCCCAGAGCAGGTTACTGCAATTAAAACACAATATTAAAAATAGTTCTAACCAACCTTCAATGTGGTTTTTGGGCTGCAAAATGTTAGCCATCCTCTTCTTACAGGACGTTGGCCCTCAAAATGTCAGGTAAACTTGTATCACCTTATTTATATTTATTTTAATTCATTTAAGTCTGTTCTTGGAAGGAAGAATGACTTTCGATGTCACTTTAAGCCAGTGGTGTTTCAGTTAGTTTGACTTCTTTCTTACAGAGGTAGTTTGCATGCTTAAGACTGATGGGACTTCAGCAAATATTTTGCTTGCAATCTTTGATTCCCTGGAGGGACCTGTTAAGGGACTGTATAGCACCTGTAGGCCTATTTGTTCCTGATTTATTTGTGCCTTCTTTGGGAGCAGAAGGATCTGTTCTTCCATCTAAACAGCTGGTATTTTTGTTTTGTGCTTTGAGAAGCCCAGGCTGGTTTTTTGTGTTTCCTTTAGGCACGATATGTCCATATGTACTGAAGAGGTTTTGGAGGTGGAGAGTTCTGAGGGATAAATTCAGTCTATTTACAAATGAAAGCATCAAGCCAGGAATATGGGACTGTATAGACATGCCCTTTGACATGGTTCTATATAACATGATAGCAACCATACACAAGCAGGAGAATAGATTGTACCTTTCACAATCAACAGCAGACACAGCAAAGGGTATTGAAAGAAGCTTATAATTGTGGAACTACCGTATTTTTCGCCCTATAGGACGCACTGTCCCATAAGGCGCACCTAGTTTTTTGGGGGGAAATAAAGGGGAAAAATTATTTCCCCCCAGGCGCGGGGCTGGGGCGGGGGAAGCTCGAGCTTCCCCCGACCCCAGCCCCCAAACAGGCAGCTCTCTGCAAGCCGTGGGAGCGCTCCCGCTGCTTGCTGAGAGGTGTGCGAAGCCTGCGGAGAGGTGTGCGCACCGACCCCTCTCGCTCTCCAGGCTTCAGCGAAAGCCTGCATTCGCCCCATAGGACACACACACATTTCCCCTTCATTTTTGGAGGGGGGAAAGTGCATCCTATAGGGCGAAAAATACGGTATTTCAAGGGCTTTACAAGAGTGAAGTCTGGATTTGAATTTACTATATAAATAGCATTGTACTTTACTGGCCATTTCAATTCTTCCTTAGAGCACTGCATATGTCCACATCACTGAGGCATATTGAAGCAACTAATTTATATGCTTTATTTGCATGTAAATAGTATGTATACTAACGTGGATTATTAAAAAAATCAATTGGATATGTTTTGTCTTATTTAAAAATTATTATTTTAATATCCTAGTGAATTTGTATCCTTATTTCTGAGTTCTGAGTGCAATAATAAGAGTTGCCATATTAGCATTTCATTCCTGGTACTTGAGGGACAGCCTTTCTGTTGGGATTGCAAACTGACTGGGGATAACAACACCGACCTAGCCTGCTTTTGTGCTTTTAACAGCAGCTTTATTTGTAGAAATTGGCAGGTGCAGTTCTTCATATCTTAGTGAGAAGGATTATAACATTCTTAGACATTTTAATAGAAATGTAAATGGACTAGAAAAGATACAAGTTGGTAATCCCATTTCCTACCTACAATATTTGTCTTCACATGCTTCACACTAACATACTTTTCATTCTGTTTGAAGTCCTGTTAGTTTCAAAAATGTGCATTTTCTTAACAACTTTGATTAATTAGAAGTTTCCCTTCTGCATTTTTACAATGCTGTAATAGTAATGATCAACAACAACATGGTAGAAAATAGTTTTCTTCTAAGGCTGTTGAAGGGATTTTTTCCTTGCAGTTCTGATTTAATCCATTACAAGACAATGGCTGTATTTTACAGATCCCAAGCGTATTTGCTCAGAAGTGACCTGCACTGAATTCGGTGGGAAATGCTCCCTGATAAGTGTGCTCAGGATTTTCTAATCTTAAAACTTATTTTTACTAATTCAAGAAAGTCTCTTTAATCTAATATTAATATCATATACGTTTAAAATTACATTACTTGGGAAATTTAGGACGTGAGTCAGTTGATTGCTCAAATTCAGTACTGTCAAAGATTTCATCAAGCCGGGATGGAGGCCCTTGTGAAGGTGGCAGCTTATATTTCTTATTTTAGTAATTTAGTTGCATCATAGTATCGCCTGATGGTATCATCTAACCTATTCTATTTTGCTTCTTACACCAAAAATATCTTGATTAAACTGAAACTATAGGTTTCAGGTTTCAGGAAGAAATAAACTCAAGTTTAGCCCCCTCTTGACAAGAGAACTTGGTTTTCCTTTCTGTGGATTTAATAATTTAGATGTCAGAACATAGTCTGAAATGGGCCAGAATCAACCTTTTTGGGTGCTACATTTTGCAGTGTGATTCTCCATTGAAGACTTTGCAGGCAGGACTGAATCAACCAGACAGTGCTGCCTCAGCAATTACTGTGAAATTATTGCTCTTTCTCTTTGCCTTAAAAGCTGTGTGTGGAGATGCAGGAGAACAATTATTTTCCTAGCAAAAGGAACTACTGAACTTACTTTCTGTGGTAATAGTAGCAGCATAGAATCTCAGAATCATAGAGTTGGAAGGGACCTTGGGGGTCATCTAGTCCAACCCCTGAAATGTAGGAATGATTGAGCAGGTACTTATAGTAGCGCATAGGCACCTTTTGTATGGCACTCGTGACATCAATCCAGATGTCTTGTGTCACTTTTAACTACTCTATTTTATGTGCTTTAAAAATATATATATTCTGAGAATGTGTGATTGAACTGTCTATAGCAGTGTGTCAGCACAAAGATAATAAATGAATAATAAACCACAGTAATAAACCAATTAACCGATCAATCTTCTGTGCAATTCATCAGCTAGTTTGGCATAACCTCTTTCTGTTATATGGGGGACAAGGATATTTCTTGCTGTGGGATCTAAGGTAGGGCCTGTGTGTAAGAAGCAGTGGGAAGATGGTTCTTCCTTCATTTCCATTGTGTGACCTCCAGATTGGCATAAAGGAAGCTCAGGGATTGCTGGTGCCACAGCCCTTCAATGCCTTGTTTGGGGGCACTTGCTACTGCTGGCAGGAGAACGTCTGACAATAGCTTTCGATTAGGACTCGTCTTAACTCCTTGGGACGTTGGTGGAATGGTTCAAATTGTGCTCTGAAATGCTATCCTATACACACTTACTTGAAAGTAAGTTCTGCTGAACTCAGTGGTGCTTATTCTGAGTAGACCTGCTGCATAGGAATGCATTGCAAATATTAGCCTAGGAACAGGCTAATACAGGAAAGAAAGAAGATTCCACCTAAACATTAGGAAGAACTTCCTGACAGTAAGAGCTGTTCGACAGTGGAATTTGCTGCCAAGGAGTGTGGTGGAGTCTCCTTCTTTGGAGGTCTTTAAGCAGAGGCTTGACAACCATATGTCAGGAGTGCTCTGATGGTGTTTCCAGCTTGGCAGGGGTTGGACTCGATGGCCCTTGTGGTCTCTTCCAACTCTATGATTCTATGATTTATCTGATTCTTTCCCCCATTTGTCCTCAAAATGTAAGCCTATCGGCAGTATCTTCTATGCTTATGTAGCTTACACTCCTTTTCTTCTGTAGTGTTACTGGAAGCAATTTCAAAGAACGGGAGTGCTGCCGGGAGTGGTGCTTACTATCGAAAACCAGCAAGTGGAAGTGATAAGAACAAACCCAATAGCATGAAGGACAGTAGTACATCTGCTGCAGGGGAAAGTGGGAAGACCTACACCAAAGATCAAGTGGAAGGAGTGCAAAGGTATTTTTATAAATAAACAGATTTCCTGTTGATAGTACTGATAATAAATTACAAGTGTATCTGACAGCATAGCGTTCCCCAACCTGGTGCCCTCCATCTGTTGTTGGACAGCAATTCTAATAATACCTGACCAATTGCCATGCTGCAATTTCAGGAGAAGAAAAGGCTGAAGAGTAAACCCTATGAAAATCCGAAATGGAGTCTCTAAGGCATCTTGTAAGCCTCCTACAGGCAACTCCTGGTGCCAAGCTGGTGCAAAACATATCGCTGTGCTTTCCTTTGGATCACATCAGTGAGGCCAAAGGGGGAGTCTTGTCATCTGGGCAGCCCAGGACTTTCATACACACTGCCCAGGCTAACACAGTCATTTGACTTCACCCCCAGAGGCACACTCCAGATGGATGCCAACAACAACATTTGCCATGCTGACTGAAACTGATCAAAGTTGTAGTCCAAACAACCTGGATGGCACCATGTCGTGGAAGGCTGGTCTAGGTAAAAAAAGTACTCTTCAGATGTTGCCAGTGTGATTTCAGTTTAAGAATATTAACTTAGCTGAGAACATCACACTGCTCTTTACAAAGGTTTTAAGTCAACCTTTTAGAGCAGTACAGCTGTCACTTAAATGTTCTGATGCGAGAGCTAAACTCATGGATTCCATTTTTGAAAGGTCTCATAGTTTGAGCGCACGGCCACTATGTTGACTGAATGCTTTGTCAATATCAGCTGGAGCCTGATGTAGCTTGTTATCATTTCAGACAGTAAATGAGATGGCTAAGAAAGTTTTGCCTGTATAAACAGCAGCTGTGTCAATATGTTGAATTGTTCCATATACTGAAGTGTTTTAATTTAATTCTACTATTAACATGGTAGGTGAATAGGTCCTTTCCTACTTCTTTTCCTTTAGTGCATGTATTAGTGACACTTTCACCTCTAACCTGAATCCAATCAGCAATTAGATTATGAGGAACATGTGGACTTGACCCAATTTGCAAGCGATAAGGAGAAAGAAAAGCAGGGGCATGGAGAGCAAGCCTAAAAGCAAGAGGGTGCGCCACCCACTTTGGACTTTGGTTCCCCCACCACAGGCTTCAGTCCTAGTCACTTTTAGCATGCACGCCTAATAGATTGCCCCAAGGGGATGTGGCCCTCAACCGGAAAAAAAAGGTTCCCAACTCCGGATTGAATCTCTCATTGAAGTAAGTGAGATAACTTTTCCAGTGCAGGAGGAAAGGGTAAAAGGCCCCTTAGCCCATGCCAGGGTCCTGATCTGGATTGGCCCCCGTGCTTGCAATCTGTTGTACTTCTGGACTAGCTGGGGTCCCATATGCTATTGGTATGAATGTCAAGGAGGAGGGGCAAAACTGAAGAGTTCCTAGTGGCTGGTGGGAATCTTCTGGGAGCCAGATATAGCTGGCAGGCCAGAGATTCCCCAAACACGTTCTAAAATATGGTGCAAATGGTCTAGTCACGCAATTATTATTATTATTTGCTGCATCCTGAGGTTTTTATTCTTATTGTTATTTATTGAATTTCTATTTCGCCCTTCCTCCAAGAAGCTGACAGAGATGGACAAGATTTTTCTTATCCCCAACCCCCATCTAACTTAACAACTCCTCTGCGGAGTAGGTTCAGCTAAGAGATAGTGACTGGCACATAGCCAGTGAGCTTCATGGCTGACATAGATTTTCCTGCTACTTTTCCAACATGCTACTTAACCTCTGCACCTCACTGAATATGACAGAAGCTATACCAACATTTGGATTGCATGTACATCACCTGAATGTTTTGACAATAGTGTTAAGAAGCACAGGAGCACCATTTATAGAGCAGAACAATCTCCAAGTGATTAGTTTAAGCATATTTTTGCCGGGTTAGAATCTAATAATGTGTGTTGATAGGCTGAAATATAAACAAGCACTTTAGTTTCTTCCCCATCCTATACACAAGAGAGAGTGCTTGTAGTTCTTCAATAGAGTGTTGCTCGGTGACAGTATGGTTCAACTGGGAGCAGTGCAAGATGCAATAACTCTTTACTGATTGCATAAGGGTTAAGCAAGCTGAACAGAAGGCTGCTCACTTTATTGCACCAAAGAGGTCTGGTGAAAATGTCTTCTCATGTGGGCAAAATTTCATTTCCAAGTTTCTGAAACAAAAAATATGGGCTTAGCTTTCTAGTAAAGAGCTATCATCTTCAAAACCTGCACAACTACCAATGGCAGCATAAAAGTGAAATGGAGATCTTTCTTATTGTAATGCTGGTGTCTCTGGAATATCTATCGCAGCATTTAATCTCATTAAGTTGGGGGGCGGACCTGATGGGTTGATAATTTTCGTAACTATTATTAGTAGGAACTACTACGTTATCTTATTGGATTAGTGTTGCTCTGAATCAAAGTGGAATTTTAAAAACCATTTAGCCGATATATCAGTGTTCCTCCAAAATATTTACCAGTTGTCCTTGATGCACTTTTAATTCCTCTTCAAAGAGGAGCTGGAACCAAGATGAGACTCCAAGGAGTGCACTTTCCTTGTTGAAGAACTACAGCCACTGTAAATCTTATTACCCTTTCAGGTTCCATGCAGATTCCTTGCTTTTTTTTTGTTAAAGAAATATTCAGATCTGCTTTGATATGTTACAAATTATTTTACCTAATGGAAGTTTACCAATTCTTTCTTCAGTATAATGAACTGTATCTGTCATGCATGATTGATATTCATACAAGCAAGAGTTCATGAAAATGATTTGCCTCTTGTTAATACGTAGATGTATCAAAGTACTCATCTGTTTTAACAGAAGAATTTTGTGGTTTAATTTCTTTAGAAATCGCTAACCTACCTACTGCTAGGTGTTTCCATAATATTCCCTCCTATGCTTCTTAACACTTTTGTCCAAACTTTCTGTTAAAAATGTACATGCAATTCAAATATTGTGGGTATAGCTTTGACCCACATTTAATAATTGTACCTCGATAATAGTAATAATTTCACAAGTCAGCTGCTGGATTCTGTGGCAATAGGATAAAAGTGTCCTTTGGTTTGAGGAGAAGACACAAGAGCTTTGCTTGCAAACTGCCATCATTTTTTCTAATCCATCCCCGTAAGAATAGTTGTACTGTTTGTCCCTGGAGTTTATCCTTTATAGTCTCTGGTGTTTGAAGCCACCTCTTTCTTGATGGTTACGTCATTGACCTCATAATGCTTTTGCCATCATGAACTGTAAAGTTATAACAGGGCAAAGAATAAAAACTGCTGCCCACTTAAATGGGTTTCAGGTAACTAATATTGGATGTGTGTGTATTATATCTGGGATTCCTTTGTTAACATTACTTTACAATAAAATACATTACCAACATTAGGCATAGTTCTACGTATGGATTTTCCAATGTATGTGTAATGTTACTGCTAAAAAAAGCAAAAAAAAATTTATCAAAATACTGGTACTGTGGTTTCTGTACATAAGATGAAGCTGTTTGAAAATGAACTTCTTAAATTGTGCTTTAAGAGTTAATAGTTGTGTTTTAAAATTGAAGTTATTTTGCTTAATGACCTCTTGCAGCATAAAAAAGTGTAAAAATTACTATGAAGTCCTTGGAGTGTCCAAAGATGCAGGTGACGAAGACTTGAAGAAAGCTTATCGAAAGCTTGCTCTGAAGTTTCATCCGGACAAAAATCATGCACCAGGAGCAACAGAAGCTTTTAAAAGTAATATTTTCTAATTCACTTGTAGAAAAGAAAACATTTCAGGGGCAGGTGTATCTCTTCTGCCCAACTGGTTGTGCCTTTTAACAATGGGTTGGGTTCAAAGGTGCTCTTTTGTAGCTGCAAAAGGATGGCTTTTTACACCTTGCACTAAGCTTGTGGCCAGAGCATTTTATGTGACAATGAAACTAAATCTGTGATCTTCCACTTCTGCAAGTGGAAGGATAAAAACTGCTGTAGAAGTAACTTATTGCAGGCAACTCTTCCAGGAGCACCTATGCAAACCTTTCAAAAATAGCACTGGTTCTTATTTTCCTCCCATTTATGGTCCTTTGGTTGTAGCTCAGTATATTCAGATCGTCATACACAAGGTGGTAGACATTGGGTTGTAAAAGCAAACCATCAGCTATGTACTAACCTTAGTATAGGTATGAAAGGAATCTTACCAGTAACTTGTTGGAAACATGGGCTGGAATCCAGGCTACTGGGAACCTTGTTTCATGTGCCCAGAGGGTGCTGGGTTTGTCAGTCTTGAGCAGGGTCCCTGTATGTTGTTGCAAAAGCATTTTTAAACAGTTTGTGATACAAGATGAACACTTACTACAGTGGAGCCTTGGCTGTCAAACGTAATCCATTCTGGAAGACAGTTCGATTTCCAAAACGCTCAACAACCGAGGTGCAATTGCTGGTCAGCAAAATCCTTTGGAAAAATGGAGAAATGCGCCTCGGAAGACGTTTGACTTCCAAAGTGCATTCAAAAATGGAAGCATTCACTTCTGGGTTGCTGCCGTTTGAAAGCCAAAACGTTCGACTTCCAAAGCATTCGAAAACCGAGGTTCCACTGTATTTAAATAAAAAATTGGTTGGGCACAGCTATGGCCAAGCACTGCTTGCACCAAAAGAACTCGAGTTTATATGTTACTGAACACACTTTATGTTGTGATACCTACTTGCATTTATTTATTTTATTTATAAATAAATTGCTTCCTATGAGGCATCCCAAAGCATTTCACAGTACTATAGTCATACTGGTATCTGTACTATACGTTTGTTTCTATGTTTCAAAGGGGAGGGGGAATGGACAACAAGAACTTACTCCTTACTCCTTTTAGACTGTGTGCTATGCATCAACCCCCAGACATGTTTGAGACCATGTCCAATGTTGTCTATTTGCAGTGTGGAAAAGTGGCTCACTGCAAGTCAGGCAGTCTGGCCTGTGAATTAATACAAATACAATGTATCGCTCCCTTCTCTGTGTATCTAAAATGTTCCTTTTCTCCCATGCTTCTTTCCCCTGCACTCTGCATTTCAGAGATCGGAAATGCATATGCTGTGTTAAGCAATCCAGAAAAACGAAAGCAATATGACCTCACAGGCAGTGAAGAGCCATGCAGCCATCCTGGCAACGGTAGATTTAACTTCCACAGGGGATGTGAAGCAGATATTACTCCAGAGGACCTTTTTAACATGTTCTTCGGTGGGGCATTTCCAACAGGTATATTCACTGATCACCTCGCCTTAGCTCACCATTTCCATCTCACTCCCTCTGTATCATCCTTCCCATTCACTTGTCAGTCCCAAATATCTCCCACTTCCCTTTCCTAAGGTAGATCAGCCACCTTGAGTTGTACATACGTATTAAATGAATAGGGTGTAAGTGCTTTTGTAACTGATTAAATCTGTTCTAGCATGCTCAGCAACCATTGCCTCATGTAGGATGGTACCAGCAAGGTTCTCATACAGTGATTTCAGAGCTCCCATGAACTATTTAATGCTTCTTAGTGCTTTGCTTAAAGCCAAATTTGCTTTTTTCAAACCTGAAGAACAAGTTTGTGAAACTTAAATGCTTGCCTTGTCCACTAGTAGCCAGTGGTCCAATAAACTGTTATGCCTTTTTCTTGAAGGTGCAATATATTATTTGTACTAATTAGTATGGCATTCTGCATTGCCTATAGTGTTGCCTCAAAACGAGTACAGCTGAGCACTTACTTTTTCACCTTGTCATGTTTTTTCTGCTCCCAATACGATCTTTTAAATATTTTCTCCCCTGTAGGCAGTGTGCATTCATTTTCTAATGGAAGGTCTGGCTACAGTCACCATAATCAACATCGTCATAGTGGGCATGAAAGAGAAGAGGAGAGGGGTGATGTATGTTTGTCTTTTGCATGAACTTATCTTTTTTGAAATATCGCCCCTAGAAGTAATATTAATGAGCAGCATGCCTTGCAGTTCTGTTGTCTAAATTAGTGCCTGTTTAGTAAACAGATGCAAGGAAACAGTAACAGTTAAAAAACTAATTCCGAATTTTCTGAACTAGCATATCTTATTTTAATGGAGGAATCCTATGCATGATGTTTACTCAGAAGTAAGACCCATTGTGGCTCACCCCCAGGTACCCCTTCATAATATTGTAGCCTACATTAGATTTTGGGCTACAGTAGTGGCACCCTTGCACTTAATTATATATGCGGCATAAAGTTTATAAAGAGGAGCTACAAGCAGCTTGCTTTTACTCCTCTATGGGAATTCCTGCAATTCCTCTAAGCCAGTGGTTCTCAAAGGGTGTAGTGAGTGGCAGGAGAGGATGGCAAGTGTGGCGAAGAGGAAGAAGTTTGAGAACTGCTACTCTAAGCCATGGCTTCACATGAGGATAGGACATGAAGTGATAGGTTTTAACAATATGAAGTTAGAGAAATATTACACATAATAATAATACACATTAGTGCAACCTATCTCCTTCCAGAGCTTTCAATAAAAGACTGGACAGGAATCCACTATAGGTCTTTTGGGGTGTACATATCTTTCCTGTCTAGGAAAGTGGTGGTGATGGTGGACTAGATTCCTCCCAACAAAAACAAAACACCCTGTGATTTGTCTATCTGATTGCTGTTTCCTTCTCCAGGGCGGCTTCTCTATGTTCATCCAGCTGATGCCAATTATTGTGCTGATCCTTGTCTCTTTGCTGAGCCAGTTGATGGTGTCTAATCCTCCATACTCCTTATATCCAAGATCGTAAGTAGTACTATTAATATTTTCATGGTTTACATGGATATTTTAAAATACCTCTGCTGTTCCTATATTTTTTCAAGCTTTATGTATTGCAGAGCTTTTCTCCTTTGTGTGCACCAATTCAGAAATGATCAGGAAAATCCAAAAGCAGGAAATGCTCCTATTACCCCCTTGAAAAACTAGCTCAATATAGAAGCTCAGTTCTGCTGAACAATGGCTTATTGTGGGTCTGTGCTATGTTTACATCACTTAGGTCAGTGTTGCTAAGGGGTTCTGCGCCTTATTTTTGACCTTTACTGGGAAAAGAGGCCTTAATGCTTTCTCACATGGTTGTCCTTGACAAGGTTTAAAGTAGAGCTTACAGTGAAATTTACCCATTTGGTTGCACTTTAAACTAGCAGCATGATGCTGTAACTAAGAAGTATTTACAAGTGGTTCTGAGTTTTGATTTTTAGAATTGGAGATCTGGAGATGGCAACCACAGCTATTTTCAGGCTTTTTGTGAGTGGAATCCTGGTGCTTATTTGGATTGCTTAAAACAAATGGCTTTACTTCTGATACTTACTTCTGTTGGTAGTTTATGTACTAATGCAGGGGTCAGCACACTTTTTCAGCAGGGGGCCAGTCCTTATGGGGGGTTGGACTATATTTTGGGGGGGGGATGAACTGTGGGGGGGAATGAAATTCCTGTGCCCCACAAACAACCCAGAGGTGCATTTAAATAAAAGCACACATTCTACCCATTTAAAAACACCAGGCAGGCCCCACAAATAACCCAGAGATGCATTTTAAATAAAAGGGCACATTCTACTCATGTAAAAACACGCTGACTCCCAGACCGTCCACAGGCTGGATTTAGAAGGCGATTGGGCCAGATCCGGCCCCCGGGCCTTAGTTTGCCTACCCATGTACTAATGCAACGTGCATTATGTTTTCATGCTAATAGTAGATTCGTTGTTAGTAGCTAGACTGCATTTGCATGTGTCAGAGGCCAGGACCTCCTACTCGAGTGATAGCCTCTCCCTAGAAGGTGAGAAGTCCTCAGCATTACTAGCTTCCAGTTTCCTATGGTACTGGAAGCCACCATCTTAACCCGGCTGGCTCTGTAAATATAGGCAATTAAGAACAGAGGGAACTTCTTAATTTAACCCTTTAATATGAAAATATATTTTCTTGTATATTAATAAAACAAAATGGAGCAAAGGTAAAGATAGAGGACCTCTCCAAAAAGGACTGTAAAATGCAATTCAGTGTAAACAAGTGTAAAGTGTTACATGTGGGGGGGGGGAATCTTTCACACATCCGCTCATGGGGTCTGAACTGGCAGTGACTGACTCAGGAGTGAGACTTTGCTGTTGTGAATAGCTTGGTGGAGATGTTGATCCAGTGTGCAGTAGCTGTGAAAAAGGCAAATTGCATGCTGGGATATTTAATGTGGATATCTAATTAGGATTTAATTTAATGGGATATCTAATTAGGAGCAATCTAACTCAATAGAATGCCCACATCATTGTGATAAGCTCTAGACATGTTTTAGCAAACCAACGACATGGAAGGTATAGAGTTTACAGAAAATCAGACACCAGATACAAGACATCATTTACAACATTGCTGTTTCCTTCTTTACAGACATGGCAAATTGGTGTTTTATATATGTAAAGACTTTCGTGAAAACTCTTATTTATGTTGCAATGAATCTGAAACCCTCTTTGATTTTTCTTTGCTGACAACATTGCGGACAGCTGACAATTAGTATGGGATCTCTTTACAGGGGTTCAGGACAGACCATTCAGATGCAGACACAAAACTTGGGTGTTGCTTATTATGTCAACAAGGACTTTAAAAATGAATATAAAGGTGCAAATTTGCAGAAGGTGGAAAAGAGTGTGGAAGAGGACTATGTGTCCAACATTCGAAATAACTGTTGGAAAGAGAGGCAACAAAGTAAGTGGACCTTATGATTTTTTAAAAAATAAAGGCATTATACCAAAATAACATGTAGCTCTGAATAGAATGAGATACTGGCATGGATCCTAAGGGAGTTTCCCCCCTTTTCAGAGGTTTGTGAGATCCAGTTTCATTTTCCCTAAACCACACCCACCTGCCCTCCTTGTTTGACTTATAAGGCCCTTCTTGTATAAGAATTATTAAGGTGATCTTTGTAGAGTGCTTCGAACAGTTGCAGTGGAAGTGCTATATTTGTTGTCAGCAAGAGGGGGAATGACCCCAACCTCCTCAGAAGCAGTCATAAAATTGGGGGGGGGGGACTTTATTTGGACTCCGAATACTTCAACAATTATATTCTGGTGGCTAGCATCCTCTTCCTGGAGAAGATGTTCAAGCAGGTTGCTGACCAATTTCAGACACTCTTGAATTAAACTCATTTTATAGATCCATTTCATTCAGGGTTTAGCCTTGGTTTCGGCACCAAAAGTGTCTCGGTTGCCTTGTGGGATTATGTTTGCTAGTAGGGAGACACAGTGTAGCCCTGTGGGTTTTTTTGGACACTGTTCTTAATAGTATCTGTTATAGTAACCTCCTAAAGATGTTGCTTGATTGGGTGTGGACAGCATTGCTGTTCAGTAGTTCCTCTTGTACTTGGACAGAAGCGGGTGTTCAACTCCATCACTGGCTTTGGGGTCCTGAAGGGTTCTGCCTTATCCATGCTTTTTAACAACTACATGAAATGGCTTGGTGAGGTCATCTGGGGACTTGGAATGTTGTGTCAGCTGTTTGTCAGTTAACACCTAGGGGTTCCCGCCTTCCTTTATATTGAATCCAGATGAGGGTGTCTATCTTGATCAATGCTGGGCTGTGGTAATGAGGAGGATGAGGGCCAATAAGCCTTAGGTTCAGTGCAAACTATAGAGAGGTACTCCCCCTAAAGGACCGGGTTTGTAATTTGGATAGAGGTAGTCCCTCTAAAGGACTGGGTTTGTAAGTTGCATGAGTGGCTTAGAGTACCTTCTTCCAGCTTGGGTTGGTACACGGCTTCTATGATCCATTGTTATAGGGCAAGTTTATATGTTAAATAAAAAGGTGGAGAGAGAAAATTGAAAGCCACATGGCATCCAAGAGAAGAGGGTACTCTCTGGCAGGTTGAAAATTTGTGGATCTGAATCATTTTAGTATTGGCATCATATTAAAGAAATAGATGACGTTTTATTGTTTTCTCTTTTTGTAAACCACTTTGAGGGTTTTTACACTCAAGTGGTGTATACATTTTATGAAATAAATAACATTTGTCAGCTATTGCCAATATATTTTATTTACTTTGTTTTTGTTTTTAAAGAAACAGATTTACTGTATGCAGCAAAAGTGTACAGAGACGAACGTCTTCGAAGGAAAGCAGAAGCCATCTCCATGGATAACTGCAGAGAGTTAGAACGGTTGACCAGTATCTATCGGGGAGAATGAGCTAAATCCTGAAATGTACTGCCTGTACATGCTCTCTCTCTCTCTATGTATAAAAAGAAAAATCTGTAAACTGAGAAAATACTATTCCGTCATGAAAAGGAAGAGGGATGTAAAACTGCTGTCTAGCTGTTTCCAAAAACCTTATCCTGAAGTACCAATATAATTTAATAGCCTCTTAGTCTGAAATATATGACAAGGTCATATATTTACATCATTGAATTGTCATTTAAGTTTTACTCCCAGAGCTTCTGTGATTTCTTTTTCTACAAGAAGCAGCTCCAATGTGCTGCTACGCTTGTGGAGATGTAGACATAGTGGTTCTTCTTCTGAAATACTTGCCATGTAAATATGTGTGGAAAAAGAAGACTTGTGTATATAAAAATGTTTAAAGAAATCTCAAAGGCATTTTGATGCATTAAACCCTTTAATCTCATGGATGGAACAAATAGTATGACTACATCATTCCTTATTCAGATGTCAAGTGTGTGGAATTGAAAGAAAATAGGAACAATTTTCTCTCTGCATAAAATCTACTAGGTTGAAGGAGTATTTTTTAAAAAGTAATTGGCCATGTGGATTTCTTATGAGATGATTGGATAAGACTGGCTGATACCAGAGTTTCAGCATTCATGCTGTAGTTTTAATACTGTATATCTAAGCAGTGACAAACCAGACATCTGTACCAGACTGTTTCTTGCTAAGTGGCACATTGGCACCAAAAAAGAGAAGTACACAGATACTTTTGGTACTTAATCACATTCTGTTTTGGTGTTCAGAAAAGAACAAGGTATATTTAAGCAAGTGCTGCTGTACAACCCACCTCTCCATATTTTTTAATTTAGCATGACTTAGGGTCACGTGCAAATCCTTTAGAAATGGAAGGTGTTAAATCCACTTGCTAAATACACAAGCATGCTAAATATACATTCATAGGCTGCTTCTCTTTCACTAAAAAGCAGAGAAAATAATGGAGTAGCAATTTTTTTAACAGTTGGGGAATTTGGCAGTTGCGTTCATTTACAACTCTGTTTTCTGTATAGGTATCAACAGTTGATCAAGCCACTTCTAGGGCATTATCCAATGTCACACCAGTGGATATAATGGGATTTTCCTTTCTTCTCCTCCCCGATGTGCCCCCATAATTGACTCAGAATATTCCCACCTCTGGAGCAGATTTTGCGGATGTGCAGGGGAGAGAAAAGGAATAAGTCCCCTTGCACAAGCAGAAGTCCACCGTGCAAGGATAACACTGTTGTATGTCACCTCTAAAGTTCAGCCTTGTGCCTTTGAACCCTTTGCTGATTCTTTTACAGTTAGCTTGTCTATGAATTGCTGCTTTAAGCTGTGGTTTTGCTTGTTGACAAGAGCTAAGAAGCCACAGTGCAACAGTTTCTGTCCAGATGTGTACAGGGTAGATTTTTGTACAGAGGAGCATTGAGATCACTGATGAAAGAAAAGTGCTATAGTTCTCAGTGATCACATGCTTTAAAAAGGATATAGTCACTTTTGCTGGTGCAAATTTAATATGCGGTTTTGGAGAAACTTTAAACAGGAGTCTTGGTGCCTGAGTTCCGACTTTAGCAAACCTTTGTAAGCTATTTTGCGTCTAATACTGCATATAAAAATATTTATGTTCCATTTATTTTGTTCTAAGGGCAGTGTAGTTTATCTTAGAAAATATTTACTTTAAAATGAATCTGCAAGAGAAAACACGATTTCTACGTGTTAATGGAAATATAGTACCTCAGCTGACACACACACACACACACACACGTGAAACTAGTCATTGTAGTCTGATGTATACAGAATTCAATTTTTAAAATAGATTAAATGTTACCTGAGTGGCTCTGAAATCCATTGGCCTTCAACAGGCTTAAGCAAACTCGGCCCTCCAGATGTTTTGAGACTACAATTCCCATTATCCCAGACTGCTGGTCCTGTTAGCTAGGGATGATGGGAGTTGTAGTCCCAAAACATCTGGAGGGCTGAGTTTGCCTATGCCTGGCCTTGATTTAGGAGACCACATTAACACAGAGTTTGATGGCTGAATACAGAGCAAAACTACACCATTTCCAAGATGTTGTTCTGGATTATAATTGCTTTGCGTAACCTTTCCTAGATATTTATAACTGTTGCAGGTGGAGAAATAATTTTGGTTGGAACAGACTGACTTGAGTAGGACAAGTAGTATTAGGCACAGGGAGAGTGTTTCCAAAGTGAGCTTCAAAGAATATGTGGCAGTTGAGCACTTTAATCAGTTTCCCCTCATTATTCTCCCGGGTAAGCTATGGGGTAAACAAAAAGAAGCCATGCAGCAGTACCTAAGCATCTTTATATGCAAGGTTCCATAAGTGATCATCAGTAGAGGTTCCCGATGCCTGCATTATCTGATCAATATATGTGAACCCTGTGAGATTATTTTGTTTTGAAGATCACGCAATTTGTACTGAATTGCAAAACTAATGTTGTATACAGTACTTTCTGATACTTAGAATGTACATGCAGTATCATAACTTGAATAATGCCCCCTCTGCCCCACCCACTTTCATTTGCCAGTCTTTCTTGCATGAACAAAATGGTAGAGACAGGCATTTTCAGTATGGGTGGAGCCAAGGTGCCTTTTGGATTTCTAGCAAAGTAGATATTGTAGGTTCCATTTTCCCCCCCAAAAATCTTGGGACATGCCTGGAACTAAAATATGCCTACTTTGGTTTAATGTATTAGATGATTCTGCAAACCTCTTTTACTTGGAACCGAGTTCTCCATTCTTCCTAGTAATTTAATTAGGATTATGTTCTTAGATACATAAGTCACATCTGTGCATGGTTTGTTTTGTCTTGCGGGGCTGGGGTTCTTGACCAGGGTTTCTTGATTGGACTTGATGTTTCTTTGAATTTTTTACAACTTCCTTGGTTTTTTTTTAGTGGCGCTGCACAATATGCTGCCCATTATTTTCTGAGTGTTGAGGTTCCCCAGATCACTTTTTCTGAATTAGCAAAACTAAATGTTGCAAGAATTATTAAGCAGTTACGCTTTTTCCCCTGCCATACTGCAGGTGCAGCAAGAATGTAGGGCAGACATAGGCAAACTCGGCCCTCCGGATGTTTTGAGACTACAATTCCCATCATCCCTGACCACTGGTCCTGTGAGCTAGGGATGATGGGAGTTGCAGTCACAAAACATCTGGAGGGTTGAGTTTACCTATGCCTGAGGTAGGGAATGCTATAGGCACACACAGTATTTGTGACAGGCTACAACCAGATATAACAGCTTTCATTCGAGTAAACGGAAGGCCGCACTAGTACTCACCCCAACAATAATTGGACCTACTTCCCATGATAAAAGCTAATCTCAAGCAGTTAACACTGCCATTGTAAACCGTGGGGATTGGAAACAAAGCTGCTCTTGTCCTTGCAGAAGGTTCATCTGCTCATACATGAGGCCCATCCTTATTGCCATTGATTCTAGTCTCCTTTTTGTCACATCCCATGCCATCCAAGTCTCTCCAAACCCTCAGGAGCAGCATGGGAGGGGAGGAGGGAGGTTGCAGAGAATAGGATTGGTGGGAAAGTCCTCTTGTGTGTAAACTGACTTCCACCTGTGCATCTTTCAATCCAAGTGGTAATATTGAAAAAGTACTGAAATGTACTTGGAGAATGCTCATACTGATTACAGTTAAACTTCTAAATCTGCAATATTTGCTGAACTGGGTCAACCTTCTGTAACAACCAAGACCTGGTATACTAGATGCTTTATTCTTTCAATGCAAACGAGTGTGTGTTACTCACAGCATAAAGTTCTCCATTTTAAAAAGTGGCCTGAGAGATCTGCTTTTAGTGTTAAGATGTCATTCTTTGATTTTGTTGTTGCTGTTGTTGTTGTACATTGTTGTTCTCCTTAGACTTTCAAGAAACTTTTTTTTTGGGGGGGTGCTCTATGACCTGTAATTGAAAAATACATTGTCAAGCAATATGTTTAATTGAAAACACAAGCAGTCTTTTCTTCTTAACATATTCTTCTCCCATAATTATGGGTTTGTGATGGCATGGGAAATAGTCTGTTTGCAATTAGAATAGTTTAACTCTGTAACTTTCATGCCTTTCATGTCTTCTCTTCTCATGAGGTGACCAAAGTATTGGAGCCTCAGCTTCAGGATCTGTCCTTCCAGTGAGCACTCAGGGCTGATTTCCTTAAGAATGGATAGGTTTGATCTTCTTGTAGTCCATGGGACTCTCAAGTGTCTCCTCCAGCACCATAATTCAAAAGCATCAATTTGGGTAGACGAGTCTAAAAAGCCCGGGACACAAACGTTCATGACCCTCTAGCAGCTATGGCAGTTTATATAGCATTAACTCTAGAAGTGTATACTGTACTCGATTCTGAACAAACTAAGCCTCCTGATCTATATTGTGCTCTAGGGTGCTTAGTTTGGTCCAAACACTTTCAGAGTTAATGCTAAATACATTTCTTCTGGCAAATGAGCCGCCTAAAGATTTGTGTCCCAGGCTTTTTATCTGAAATCAAAGGGGCACATTTGTTGCCAGATATGAAATACATTGGTATTTTGGATGGGGGGTAGGAGAGCTGAAAATAATGCCAATTTCTCACCCTGAATCTATTAGCAAATTCCACTTTAGATTTTGGTATCAGGAGTTATTTAAGGAAACAGCAGAGGAATAATTACTAATCTCTTGTATAATTTAGCCCTTGGTACCCGCTACCTAATCTACAAACTAGTTACGTCTGAAGCCCTTGAAGATGCCAGATTTGATCCTTTAATGCTAAGTGAAGCTGCACAGAGTTAAGAGTACTGTACTTGCTTTGATTTACTGTAAGTAGTTCATGGATTGAACTGTCATTTACTTATTTCTGAGCCATCACAATTCTCCTTATAGGCTGCCTTGAAGTATAAGAGGACTCCCATGCAAGATGTTTCATTTTTATGAATGGTGTACAGCTCCTTCATATTATACATTGTAGGTTCTGTGTTTTTTCTGTAAGTAAACCAGGTATATATTTATTTATTATTTGCAAAAGTTTCTATACCACCAACATTTAATAAAAACACGGCAGTGAACATCATAAAATCAACAATAAAATTGCATCCATAAAACAAATTCAAAATACATCAAAAATCAGTAGATCAGGCTCATACACCAACATATCTGAAACCCTCCTCAAAGCCTGAGTGAGCAGCTGAGTTTTGAGCAGGAGACTAAATGTCAGTACTGTAGCTGTAAAGAATAAACCTTGTCCCTGAGCTGGAAGCCTAACATGGGTGCTTTGCCTCTGCTCTGTTCAAAAATCCTTTTTGTGCTCTGCATAGACATTTCATTTTTTAAACTGTCTGTGTAGTTGGCCAGTGAACGCATTTACAAGATACAGCAGATCTCCGATTCAGACCGTTTCTCAACTACTGAGACAAAATTGTGTCTATGCTAATGGACACCTTTGTACCTGCCTGTTCTTTAGCTCCCCTATTATTTAAAGAAAGTTATTTTGAGGGACTTGGAGGCAGCTATGATACAGTGGCTAGAGGGAAAGAAAAAGTACACACTCCTCAGAAAATTATTGAGTCAGTGGACTGGCTGGCATATCAAGGTAATTGTGAATGAGAAGCAGGCTAGTGCGTGCTCCTATTTCATTCTGCCCTGCTTGGAGTAATAAACCAGTAGCCTTGGCTTAACCATGTGTCAACCACTGCTTGTTCTTGGGGAAAAACAAGCCTTGATTGCTGGTTTGCAAGCCACTAAGCCAAGGCTCGTGTTTTGTTGCTGCTACCTCCAGGCAGAGCAGGACAAAACAAGCAAGTCAGGGATGCATGTTTGCACTCTGCTCAGTCACAGCCATCTTAACATAGGTGGAAACAGCAGGTGAAACAGTTGTTGTCTTTCTAACTTTTATAATGATAGCACTGTAGATCCCAATCTATGTCAGTTTTGCAAAGACAGCCCATTTTATAAAGCAGACATTATAAGACGACCTTGAGGATCTCTCCTAAGTGTTCTGTGCCCTCGATGCTTCTTCCTTTACTTCAAAAAAAATATATGCTGCCTTTCCCTTCTCTGCTGCAAAAAATTATGGGATGGCAACAGCAGCAAATGTTGCATGGTTTTAGCAGGTAGTTAGGACTCACTGAGCCACAATCCACAGGGTGAGTTCATAAGCAAAAGCAAGCTGCCTCTTCTTGGAATAAGATTCATTTAGAGCAGATTAGAATATTTCTTCTAATTTGGAAAGAGACGGGGGGGGCACAATGAAGTTGAAGTACAGCTGATTATTCATACATAACTATGCCTCAACCATATTTGAGGGAGTTTTTGCAGAGGTGGCGTATGTTAGGTGGGGCAAGAAAGTTCCATTAACAGCAATCTTTTGTGCAAGTTCAGTTAGCGCTGATGCAATCCATTGACAGGTCAACCTCATTCACCTCAGTAAGGCTTGTGAGGGTTTTTAGGCAAGCACTACTGAACAAATGAAAGTTGTCCTATTGAAGTGCCTAGCATATTGGGCCCCATAGATTTAAAGAGCATGTGAATCGTCTAGTTATACTGCAACTACAAATTTAATAAATAAAAACAAACTTTTTTAAAAACTGAAAGGCAGCAGTATGTTCAAAGGTCAATTGCCAGTTTAGGTTTTTTATTAAAAAAAATCTTGGAAAAATGTATACCTTATGTTAAGGATTATTTCAAAGTTTCAGGTGGTCTTGAAAAATAATCTGGGAAAGCATCTTGGAATGTGTATTTTGTCCTTCATTTTATTTTCACTCTGCACTAAAGTCTATTGGTTTGGCAACTACTGTGTTTGCAAATTACTGTGTGGGACCATTTGTGTGCGTAGATGTGTGTATTGTCCAGCTTCATAACTCAAACTTGGGTGTAATATTTTACCATTGTATGTTTGCACAGAGTACCACAGGCAGTTGGGATTTCGGTGTCATAATGACAAAAAGCATTTTTGCCTGCATATTTCTCTTTCCCTTCCATCCCCACCCCCCCCACCTCCCATTACGGCCCAGTGCAGTCATAACAATTAATTGTGATTAGCAGCAGCCTTTGTTTGTTGCCTGAACTTTAGTTACAATCCCACATAAAGTGAAACCCTGCTTTCAGCTTGCTAAAGTAAGCTCTGCTACTAAAGAATGTATAAAAGAAAAGACAAGCAAGCCGCCTGATAAGAGCTTGGAGAAGGGAGAAACAGCCTTAATCATGTATAGAGATTAACACCAGGGATAATGGTTTAGGTATTCCAGATACAACTTTGTTTAAATACTATGTCTGCACCGGGGTCACGTTTTCACAAGGTCAACATTTCAAGGGAAATCCCATGTATTGTTTTCCCTGGAGTGCGAAGATAAACAGAAGCATTCCTCCACTAAACTGTGAAATAACATTGGAAATGTCCTAAGGACCAAACAATGTTTCCAAACCAGTTGCTGACCTTGGATGTTCTTCTGATAGTAACCACTGTTTTTTCCCCAACGTTTCATAAGTTGATGTCAAAAGCCTACATGCTTATCTTGGAAGTAAGCTCTATTGGCATCAATAAGTTATTTTTAAATAAATGTGCTTAGGGCAGAACTGCCAGACATGTCTTTTGCTAGCTTTAAAAATCTGAAGGAACTTCAGTGTTGGCTCTTGAAGGGCTAAGATGAGAGCTTTGATGTTTGTGAATCATGCTTTTAAAAAAAATGAATGCAAGGAAAATTCAACTAAATTTACGGTGGCATCTTAAAGAAGATCCTATTTTATTTAACTGTAGATTTAATGGTTAGGTTTTAAAAAAGATCGGATTTGTAATGTACCTAATGTAATATCAAACTTATATCAAAATAAAATTATTTTCAATGTGAATAAAAGACTTTTTACCTGATTATATAGCCCTATTGCATTCAGGAACTGGCATGTTAAAAGGAAGCATCTACAGCAGGCATGGGAAATATTTTTTTAACCAGAGGGCCACATTCCTATCCAGGCAAACTTCTGGGGGCCACATACCAGCAGTGGGCAGGCCTAGAGGCAAAAGTGAGCAGAACTAACATAGCTTTTCCCATTGTACTACAGATTAGTTTCTACATGCATCCCTCTCTATTCTCCATCCAGGCAAGCAAGAATTTTAGGACACATTACAGTCAAGCAAAAACACTCAAAGGGTGCAGAGTATGACAGGGGAGAGTTTCAAGGATCAAACAGATCCCAGCAACCCTTGCTCAGGACTCTCTTCCTATCATCTCATACCCAGTTACCCCGGCAACCTTCCAAATGTCACAGTTGGAATAAGACATATTTTCATTGCACTCCTATAGGAAAAAACTTATAGGTTTGACAGTACCAATGTAATATATTTGGGTACATTCAAATCCTTCACAAACAGACTGAGTACCGCACAAGAAACAAAGTCAGCTTTGCAATATCTAATCTTTATTTTAGCTTTCACGCCATCTTACCTCCCTGCCGTTGTAACAGCAGCCATCGTATCCTTGGCCATGTGATCTTCCTATTCTTAAGCCAATAATAGTATACCCACCAATAATTGTATAGCATCAAACTCATTTAGTATTCCAAAGCTAATAAATTCTTCCCACATAATATTTTCAGTACCAGCTACATCAACAGACACCAGGCAAGAATTACAAATACACAGAAGAAATTCAATAGAACATAATCCCTTAGTGTTCATTTTCCTCTACTAGATGCTTCACAGCACTTGTCAGTTTGACGCACATGGTTATTCAGGTTTGCTTCCAATGGCCAACAAATTAGTTGCACGCACTTGAGCACTTCTGTCCAAGTACTTGAAGTATGATTTCTTGCACTTTCATGAAATACTTTTTGCTTCATAAAAGGCATACTGGTGAAGGCTGTGCATGTTGAAGGATCAAGGTTCAGCTTCCCACATAATGAAAATCAAGTGCACCTTAGGCACCATCTTTTTGCACAAGAGTCAAAGTAAGTTAATTTGTCTCTATTAGGAAGTGCGTAATCTCCCTTGAGTTCAATGGGGCTGACTTCCAGGTAAGTGTTTACAGGACTGCAACCTAAGCAGCTCCTTAAAGCACTGCAGTGGAAGTTATTTCTAGAGCTGGTCACTTTGTGTCAGTGCATCTTCTGGTTGATTGAGTTGATTTATATGCCGCTTTCCCACAAATAGCTGTGCCCAAAATGGCTTACAGGGAATGTTCAAAACATCAAAATACAAATATACAAAATATGCCAATAAATTAAAAAATGACGCCCAAAAATGTTAATAAGTTACGACGAAAGAAGAATGGATACTAAAACTTAAGCAGAAATGGCGAAACTTACCAAAAAATAACAAATCAATATAAACTTTTTGGAAAAGAATGGAAATAGTTTATTGAATATTTACAAATAAACTCTAAACAGATAAGAACATTGGCAGGATTATTATAATAACTGCAGTTTTTTAAGAGTATACACTTAAAGTAGATGAATAAATAAGTTAATTTTGAATATGCAGAAAAAACTAAAAATAAATTTTAAGGAACCTCAGAAAGAGTTGGAAGGAAGTCGAGTTTAATGTCAAAATGATTGTAACATTATTAAAATGTATAAAATTGAAAATCATAAATAAAAAGTTAAAAAAAGTAAATTCAAAAATGACAAAACTCAAGCAATTTAACAATAAATTCAATTATTACCAAAGTAATAGTAATCTAGGTTTAAGTACATAAAGACCAAATCAAAAACGACATTGTTAGCCGACATTGTAGTTGTCTGGTACCAGTCTTCCTGCACCCCAAGGAGGCTGGAATAAAACACAGTTCAGGGCGACATATCGCTGGCTCCCGTCTTCTTACTCTAGAGGAGGCTGGCAGCAGCAGCAGCAGCAAAAAAAAAGGCAAATGCCGGGGACACTCCTCAGCAGCCTGATTGAAATACACTTCAGTGTGGGAGCCTAGACCACACACAGCTGGGGCCTCGACGCTTTGCGCGCGCACCCACCTGACGCAGCAGCAACCACGCGTGCGCAGCAGCGGACGCCTCTCCGGCTTGGAATCGGACGGCCCAACCCCCGTCCCCTCTCCCGACCGGAAGTGGCGCGTGCGTCTGCCTTCCCGCGCCCGACGCGTCCCCGGCGCCGAAGCGGAAGCGACCCGGAGAAGTTGCTCTGCCTCACGCTTGGCAGTCACGCGACCTGGTAGACGGGAGGGGGAAGGAGCTCGCTTAAAGGGAGGGCGGCTGTTAAAGGCGTTGAACCCGGAAGAAAGTGGAGGTGCGTATGGGGGACCCGACAGTTAAGAGGCCTTCGGGGAGACCTGCAAGGGGAAGGGAGGGAGGGAAGGCAGGAAGGCGCCGGGTGTTGACCCTCGCTTGTCGCTGTGGGACCAACAAGTGGGTTACTGTCATTATTATTAATTATTAGGCTACTTCATTCCGTACACAAAAGGAGTGGCGATATAATAATAAATAATAATAATATTTTTTTATTTGTACCCCGCCCATCTGCCTGGGTTTCCCCGGCCACTCTGGGCGGCTTCCAACAAAGATTAAAAATACATTAAAATGTCACACATTAAAAACTTCCCTGTCTTCTCCCTTTCCTAACAATTTCGGAGCTGAAGCCGAGAGCCATCGGCCCTTGTTTCCTCAACTGGGTTTGGGCAGCGACGGCGGGAAGTTTCTGGCTCCGTGGGGCTTCTGTGCCAACTTGAATACAGTACTGGGAGGGGGGCTGGGCAGGTAACCCCCACCCCCCACCCCGCGTTATCGATCACACCATTTGAATGGCAATGCCTGTCGAGGGAGCCCGACCGCTTCAAATACAGTATTTGACTGAGGGGGCTGAAGGGACCTCTGCCCTAGAAGAGTCGGCTCCTATGCAGGGAGATAATGATGGCCCTCCCTCTCCCCAACCCCAATATATAAGTACCAAATGGTGTGTATTTGGTACATTTTTGCTTTCGCCTTTTTGTCTTTGCGTGGGCATCCAGGAAAGAACTTGGGAGAGTCACAGCCCCACCTTGGTAGACCGCGATAAGATACTGCTGGTGTTGTATCACCATTGATACTTGAAAGAGAGATAGATTTTGGTTTTGATTTCTTATTGCTGGTGGTGCACATGACTCCCCCCATAAGCCGCAGGAGCACACATTTATGATTATGATCCTTTCACCTGCAGGTTCCAGGGCGGGTTATGACAATTTAGAATTAAAAACAGCTAAAGTAGATTACAGTCACAAGAATGGGGTAGGTCAAAGGGTGTGTGGTGAAGCAGAGGAGGTCTAAAGGAAATGACTGAGCTTATCTCCAGCAACTGAAGGGCGGATCTATCTTAAGGTTGCAAAATTAGGAAATATAGTATATAGAATTGCTATGGGTTGACATTTCCCAATACCAACTCTGCACTGAGTGACTTTGAGAATAAGCTGTGCTATGCAAGGCAAAGCACCGTAAGTGCCAAGTGTAGCAGGGGTGGTGTAGTAGAAACTTGTTCTCTGCTATATTCACATAGAAGGACAAATCGTTTTGTCACAAAACATGCAACTTTTTTCCCCCAAAGGGTTTGGACTGTTCATTTGAACACTTCTGACAACATGGCGGATGTAAGTATAATTAGCACTATAATGCACATTTTAAAGTGGCTTGTTGAATGTGACAGAGAGCTGTGTACCAAAGTATTATGCGTAAAAGAGTGGCCATTTCCCCTGCTTTCAGGGAAAGCTTATGGTGTAATGGAGGGTTCCAGTGAGTGAATATGAGTGTGAATGGAAGAGGTAGTTAATTCTCCAGTACATGACCTCTTAATGTGTGCTGTAAGTGACTAAGGTAAACAGTTTCCTTTTCTTTCCTCTTCTAGGAATTGAAAAGGTTCCTGTACAAAAAGCTCCCAAGGTAAGGTACCTATGTAGATTTACCTTCTGAACTTTTGAGTTTCACATATCAGGAAACCTGTGTTAAAATTTCAAACCCAGTGCTAAACCTGTTCTCTAAATGGGACTTGGGAATAATTATCATTTATCTCAGTGCAACGTCCTTCTAAGTCAGTAATGCTTATGGAGTCAGCCTTAGTAAGATTTAATGTGTTCTATGAATACTGTACCTTGAAAAATTGTTGCTTTCAGGTACCTAAATTGGAAAGTGTTGGGGGTGGGTGGGAGCTGTGTCCCTCCACTTATTGAGGAACTTCATACTGGGGCTGTAGGATATTGCACGGAGGTACACAGCTTAAGACAGGGAAACTTTCAACACATACCAACCATGTTAGCAAGAAACTTCTGTTCTCTCCCTCTCTCACACACAGACACACACACACACACACACACACACACACACGTGTCTGTGGCTCCCAGCCTTGATTTAGTAACCTAATAATTAGGTAACCTAATATTAATATTAAATGGTTCCAAAGTTTTGACACTACAAGCCGAGACGTAATACTTCATTAGAATTTTATCATCCTTTCTCCAAGTAGAATATATGCATCTGCTTAGCTTCAAAGTTTGGTCTGTATTTCCCATCAAATTCTTTTTTGGACCAAGAATGGGAATAATTTTCTGAACCTTTAAATTCTTCAAAGGGGTTTGAGAATGTTGCGGGTTTTGATTGAGGCATTAATACAGTGCTGTAATTGTTAAATTGCAGGTTGTAATTGTTAAAGTGATTAATTGATTAGCTGGGTAAGGCTAAAAAAAGATGCAGGGGGCACCATCAATGTGAAATAGTTGACAGTATTTCTGGTTAGGTTGCTAAAAATTCTACCTCTTACTTTTCCAGTGTTGAGGGACTCCATGCTATTGTAGTGTCAGACAGAGATGGTGTACCTGTTATTAAAGGTAAGACCTGTGCATTTATCTGGATAGGATATTTGCATCAATTTAATGGAAATATAAAATCCTTGTTTGCTCAAAAGCAAGACGTTTCCTCCTACTTTGAAATAGACAAAAACATGAAATCATTTTCACCTTTTAAACTCTTCCCTTGTGCATCCTGATTCCTAAGGGGAAATTTTAAATATAACTAGGCACACATATCCACTCCCTGTCACCCTAGTCTTCTGTTGGCTTCTAGTGTAGACATGAGTCAGCAGAGATCGCAATGCCTATTCATCAGCTGTGATGCACTTTCCTGGATAGAATAAGTGGAAGAAAAGAATACTGTTTGAGGAAGCTGTGTGTGTAAACCACTTTCTTGGTGCTTTGGTCTTTGGTAACGGTGTGAGCTGGTTTCCTTCCGAGTTACATTAGAAGAAAAAGCTGCATTCAGGGCTATGTGCACTCAGTCCTCAAAACTGCAGTCTTCATTGCCATACTATACTGCATTAACCAGTGTAAAATGGCAAATGGTTGCTTGATGTTTACATGCTTTGTATATTTGTGCCTTTACAAATATAGTTGGACTATAACTTCCATCATCCCTGACCATTAGTCAGTGGTGTGGGATAATGGGAGTTGTAGTCCAACATCTTATTGGGCCCCAAGCTTCAAAAAGGCTGGTATATTGCTTGATGATTTAATTTGTATACTGCCTTCAATTCTATTATGGGGTGGGGAGTGCGGGAGGTACGGTTTAGGCAAGGAAAGGATGGAGATGGAGTTCAGGAAATTCTTCCTGAAGCAGATGATGGATAGTTGACCTTGGAGGGCACTTTAACTCCACTTGCTGAGCATTAGGAACCCACTGGAACACACCTTGGCTTTGTCAACAAGTTCTTCCTTTCACAGTCATGATTGTTGATTATTTTTCTTTAAAAAATGTTAACTGTGCCATAGTATTGCAAGATCTTTTGGAATTGCACTGTGCTTCAATCTCACTACACTTGCAAGGACTAGTCCCTTGAGTTTGTGCTGCTGGTTCAACTAACAAATGCCTGTTATCTGTGCAAAATGTGTCTGTTACAATATTTGGAGACTAGCTATAGAGTGTCCTCTTGTTCTAGTTGCCAACGATAATGCTCCAGAGCATGCTCTTCGACCGGGTTTCTTGTCAACTTTTGCACTCGCAACAGACCAGGGCAGCAAGCTTGGGCTTTCAAAAAACAAAAGCATCATTTGTTACTACAACACATATCAGGTAAGATGTGTTGCCTTCCTTCCAGAATTGGCAGATGAATGGATTTTGCAAGTAATGTAATGAAGCATTGTATTGGAATGGGAGGAGTGGTGTTCTGTTTCAGCAAGCAATCTGCTTGTGCCTAGCTGTTTTGGCCAATATCATAATCTGGCAGGATGTTTCCTTCACCTTTTTAATTAGTCTAGAAAATTATTGTTAACAGCACTACTTTGCTGATGCATTGTGTGCCAGTGTCTTGTAAAAATCTATTCTCATCCTTACCCCACCAATGGCTGCCAGTAATGTTGTGTAATGTTGGGCTCCAACTGCCATCAGCCCCAGGCAACATGGCCAGTGGTCAGGGCTGATAGGAGTTCAGCGACAAATGGAACCTGGTTAGAACCATAAGAGGCTAGTGAACTGCCTGCTGGAAAACATTTACTGTGTGCTGGATTTTGAAATGAAATGTCTTTCTTCTTGTAGGTGGTTCAGTTCAACAGGTTGCCTTTGGTTGTGAGTTTCATCGCTAGCAGCAATGCCAACACAGGTACGTCTTCAGGACTTTGCTGCCTTCAGCACCCATATTGCTAGATTTAAGTTGTAATATGTGGGTACACTTGTGGTTTTTCAAAAAGCTATGTACTTGCTTAAAAGAAAAGGGCCAGTTGCATGAATTGGCAGGCAGTTCCTCTCCAACCCCCAAGTTGTGGATAATATGATAGAAGCAGAGCCTTACAACAAAAGTCACAGTGACAGGACAGCTCCACTAGTCCCCCCACCTTGAAAAAGCCATGTGAGATTTTCCTAGGGCAGGGGATGGGCCAACTGGGAGCAAGGCATCCCTCTTTCTCTTTTCCTCCTTGCCCTGTGGGCTGTGTGGGAGTGGGGAGGGACAGTTTGCCCTTGCCAGAGGTCTAGATTTCCCCCACCTGCATAAAATTATGCAGGAACCCAGCTTCTCCACTCCTGTTAAGGGATGGCTCAGCAAAGGTGATTGTGTATACTGCTGCTTTGGCGCAAGGAGCAGAGTGTGGTCTCAGCACTTGAGCAAAGGGAATGAAAGCTCTTACGGGTCAGGACCAGATCCTGTGTTGCCTCTGCAAGTATCTAGTTTATAGTCAGTGGCAGTGAGAATGTCTTGCTCCTGTGCCAAAATGTTGGCATGAAGTTCAGTTTCCCCAAATAATGTATAGACAGGTTATCAGTTCACGTTTACAAATGGATCCCTCTAGTATGAAATATAAACTTTGTTTTTCTATCTCTTCCCTTCCCACTTTGTATATGTGTTTGTGTAGGGCTGATCGTAAGCTTGGAAAAAGAGCTTGCTCCCTTATTTGAAGAGCTATGGCAAGTAGTGGAAATCTCTTAACCTGGCACTTTATCTCCAGAGTGAAGCATCTCTTGAGTTCTGGACAGGAGAGATTGATTTCTTTTTTCCAACCCACTGCCGTGTAACAAGTGTCTTGGAGCAAATGCTACTTTCTCTTGTTTTAAATAATTGAAACAAGTTGCATATAGAGCAAAATGTAGAATACGATGGGGAGAAGGGGGTTCGGGCTGCAGGTGCATTTGTTAAAACTACAGGGTATTGTGGAGACCAGCTGATGACTCCCATGGAGTTAACTTCAGGCATGCAGAATATATTTCATAGGAAAAAAATACTGTTCAGAATTGGCCACCCCCAGCTCACTTGCTGTACGAGTAACGGGTGTGCCTGTCTTTGAACTACCACTATATGAACAGTGCAAAAATACGTTTTCCCTTCCCATTCTTGCAATGAAGACTTCCTAATATTTGCTCACATTGTGCATCAATGCTAGAAAAGCTTCCCCTCACAATCAGTGACTCATGGTTTGTTTGGATAGAGAAATACTAATAGCCTGGAAGCTTTTTAAAAAAAACAGGTACATGCTAGTTCTCTTCAATACTGCTACAGCTGAGCTCTTACAGAGATCGCATCAATCAGTGTTCTTTTTGCATACGTATTTGTAAAACAGAAGGATGAAATTTCTTGTTTTATCCCGTTTCTATTTAAGTTCATGTAATTATGTTGCTTTGCTGCTTCATCCTACCTTTTTGCATGTCCCTAAACAGATTGAAATAAAAGTGTGAATAAGATGTGTAGCCTGATTATTACCAGAGAGAAGAATCTTGCAAAACAGCCTTCTGGCTAACTTGCTTAGATTTGGATAGTGTTGTTTCTGTGGTGCAGATGTGGAGAGAACTTTGGCCCTCTATATGATGTAGAATTACAACTCGCCGCTGTCCGTGCTTGCTGGGGCTGGTGGGACTTACTGTTCAACAGCATCCGAAGAACCCACTCCTGCTTTGATGAGGTAAAATGAAAACCCAGGCAAGTGTGAACTTAGTTGGACACTGTGCAGAGAGAAGAACAGCACAATCGCTGTTTAATTCAGTGGTGCTTATTCTTAGCCCAAGTATGCAGTTGTAACCCCACTTAGCTGTGAGTAAGTCCTGTTGAATTCAATCGGGCTTCTGAGTAGGCAAGGGTAGGACTGCATTGCTATTATCTCTTTGCACTGTACTACCTATGTCCCAGGGAGAGAAGCGTGTGTCAAATTCCAGGAAAGGAAGGAAATGCTGCAAGTATCTGAGCATTGCACAAACATTTGAGACATCATGACGTTTCCCGCTAAAAGAAGCTTAAAAACAACAACACAACAGGTCCCTACTTGTGAAGCTGGACCCTGTTACTCTAGACATGATGTTCTCTTTTCTATTTATTAGAAATTTTACAAGAGATACAAAATGCATTAAATTGTTTCAGATACAGCCTTGAAAAGCCTTCCTTCGTATGGTCCTGTTCTCTACACCTACCCTGATTCCCAGCACTCACAGTATATTTTGAAATGTTCCTGTTGCTAACACAGAAGAATATTAAATAATAAAACACAGAGAGAGAGAATAAAAATGGTTGCTTTACAGGTTTAAAAAAACAAACACTAGTACAATAGGCTGGTCCCCAGTTATCTTACTTTACAGTAATTAGAAGAGCACTTTGAATGCTGTTGGCACTTACACTCATTAACACGAACATATAAAAAGGACATTTCACCAAAATATATTGGCAGTTGCATCTGCTTTTGCATGCTTCCATGGTGACTTTATGTCTTGAGCTTGGTTTCTAAAGAGCATGTGGAAGAGGCTTGGAATTATTGGCATTGTATGCTAAACACATGCCCTCCCATGCGCTGCTGCTGGTGTGCTTCCATAAGATTTGGCTGGTCTAGATGGCAGTTTTGTCTGATGCATTTTTCATGATCCAGCAAGTGAGAGAAATAACTTCCTAATGTGGTTTTCCCTGCTAGACCAAAGAGATTTCATTGCTGGGTGCACATTCCGACACACAAGTTCCATTTGAATTAGCCAATGTCTATGGAGATGAATCTTTCCATTTGTGCTGCAGTGCACATGGGAACAAACATTCTCAAACACGGTCATGGGTCACTAACAAATCACAGAAGTCTGTGTGGGACCAGAAGTCCACTTATGCTAGAGTACATAGTGTAAATGGCTGAGAAAACAGTCCATACCAAATGTGTAAGGATGAACATCTTCATAGGTAACACAATGACCCATTGCTATGAGAAGATCCAAGACATTTAAGCTGAAAGTTCATCTGGTGCAGCAGGTGTGTGTGGGAATCACACCATGGAAGTGGAACCTTAGACATCAGCGTATGAGGATCAGCTTTTAGTGGATACGTATGATGGCTTTTAAAGAGGGTTAGACAAATTCAGGGAGCATAGGCCTTCAGTAGCCATTAGCCACAATACCTAAAAGCAGAATATCCATCTTTAAAGGTTGCATTCTTCTAGTTCTCAGATGCTGGGAACAAAGATTGGCATCTCCAACATGCCACCTTTGTAGGTTTTCTTTGGCCATCTGGATGGGCTTGATGGGTTTTTGCTTTTAACCAGTGCAGAAGTTCTTACAGTCACAATGACAGGTTTGATGGAGCATTAATTTGAACCAACCTGGGCCTTTGTGGCAGTTAAGATTTGCTGAAGAAATAGCTACGGCCTGAATGTGCCTGAGTCACGCTGGCGTGCTTGTCTCCTTATCTGTGACTACAAAAAGAAAAACCTGGTATTAATATAACAGAGACATGAGTTTATCAAACGGGATTTTTTTCTTCTTTATAATCTTCATTAAGGTGCTGCTCTTTTTTATTGTTCCCTAATCATCCAACTTGGTAGGCCTGCACTGGCAGGTATCAGAAGTTAATCAGGAAGATTAAGGGACCAAGACGAACAGAAATTTCATGATAATTGGAAGAAATATTTAATGTATATGGAATCTAAATCTCAGGTGACACTGGCGGGGTTGAAATAACTCGAACAGCGGAAAGGCCTATGTAAGAGAGTTAAAAAGTACGCGACTATATAATTTATTCGATACTTACCAAAGGAGTGGACGGAAGTCCAAGGCTCAGTTGAGACTAACTCAGTTATGTATTTTATTTATGATTTGTGAAGTGGATATAATTTGTATAAGGTATGTGGTGGATTTTTTGTTTATGTTTTTTCTGTATATATGTGCAAATATGAATAAAAATTTATTTAAAAAAACCACAGAAGTTAACTGGTGGCAGCGGTGCAGACAGTTGGCCTGGTTTGTTTATCACGCTAAACCAAACCATAGCTTAGTGCAAGCATGTGGGTTCCTGGAAGGAAGGTCCATGGCCTCTCTGGACATTTCTGCTTCTGGGCTGAGCTGTCAAGTTTTGGCTTAGAGTGACATGCAAACCAGGCTACTGTTTCCGCTGTGTGCTGCACAAGTAATAACTGAGCCTAAACATGTGCAACTACTAGGCTTGTAATCCTTTCCTCCTGGGTCCTCTGCTGCCGTCACCCATTGCCTCCAGGGCTGAACAGCTATGCCCTCCATGTCCAAGGTAGCCCCCTCACTTCTGTTGCCCTCCTTCCTCAGTATAGCTATGCCCGGTCACCTCAGTGAGCGGGGCTAGATGCCCACACCCTAGTGCACACTTATAAACAAACCATGGCTACAATTCAGCCTGTGGAGCAGGGATTCAGTTATTTCCTCCTTTATGGTTTTGTCCCCCTCCACCAATGAAGCTCGAGGGTGGAGGCTACCGAAGTCGTCTCAGATGCAGTGCAAAAGAGCAGAAAATGGAATGGAAAACTGGGTCTGTGTTGCACAGAAGCACCATGACTTCTGCACTGGCTTTTGGATAGGAAAATAGGAAGTTGCCTTACCCTGAATCAGAACATTGGCCCATCTAGCTAACTCAGCGTTGTCTAAACTTTATACTCTCTGAGAGTGGCTCTCCAGGGTCGCAGACTCACTCCTCTGTGTGGAGAGGCTGGGTACGAAATGATATTGTTTAGGTAAAAGCATGTGCTCTATATTTCTGAGCTACAGACCTAGACCTCCTTAGTTTATATATTTGTTTAAAGGCTAGGGATATCACTTTCTCTTTTTACATGCATAGTAAGGCCAGTGAGGAAATAAAGGGTTCGGCGTTACACATTTTCAACATGAAATGTTTCCTTTTATCTTAAATGCACCAAGCGAAAGCTAAAACACTCATCTGAACTTGAGGGATAGGCACTTCCTTACCAGTTTCCATTGCAGTATTTTAATCCATTCATCTGCTTCTACTCCAGTCTTTGCGTAAAGGTAATAGGTTCTCAGTGGGAATACTAAACTGTAAAAAGAAAAATTGTAAAAAGACTTGGTATCACAAGCATAAGCAATACTAGCTGCAGCCAACACCCATACTCCATTTTACCAAAGAAGAACTGAAGCTAAAGTTTGGTTTTAGTTTTGGTTTGTTTTATTTTAAAAAAAAATGATCCCACTTTTATTCCAAGTAAGAATTCAAAGCAGCTAACATTAAAAAACTGAAAAGAAGGGTCAAAACACCAAAGTAAAACACAGAGCCAGTGGCAAAATAAATAAAACCAGCTGAAAAAGACATTTTCCCTCTGTCACTTCATCAGCATACAGAATTAACTTAGGGTCTTCAGCAGCACTGCTGGCTTTGGCTACATAGACACAACCAGCTTAAAATGTTTCTCTTCTCAATTTGGATCAAAGTTGGATTGCGGGAAAACATGTAAATATGCAGTATATTTCCTAAGAAACTTCAGGATAGATACAGATTCTGGATAATGTAGATTCAGTATACTGCTTCCCAGACCCACAATGGGAACACACTGGATGCAGAGTAAACAGAGGGTGTACACCAGGCATGGCCAAACTTGGCCCTCCAGCTGTTTTGGGACTACAGTTCCCATCATCCCTGACCACTGGTCCTGTTAGCTAGGCATGATGGGAGTTGTAGTCCCCAAACAGCTGGAGGGCCAAGTCTGGCCATGCCTGGTGTACACACAGACTTGAAGGAGAACTGGAGATTTAGAAATATGTCCCTTTCTCATGTGTTAATGCTGAAGGAGGGTATGATTGGTTTTTTTAAAAATAGAACATTTTAAAGCATATATATTATTAGCATATTTATCAACAGAATTTTGTAAGGGCACGTGCTTCAGGGCATTATTGAATAGCCAAGGTTTTGCATGCAGAAAACACAACAAATGTGGAACTCAAAGGCTGCCTTGGTTAAGAATAAGCTCATTCACAGAAACAAAGGAAGTTGACTTATACCGAGTCAGACCACTGGTCCATCTTGCTCAGCATTATCTGCACTGACTGACAGTGGCAGCTCTCCAGGGCTTCAAGCAAGAGTCTTTTCCATCCCTACCTGGAGATGCCCTCTGCTAGCAAAACAGATATTCTGCCATTGAGGGATGCCCATTCCCCCATGCTAAGCCACAGTAAGACAGAAAGCAAGAAGGAAAGAATAAAGTCAAGGAAGGGGCAGCTGTCGTGTAAAGCTGTTGAGACACCAAGGAAAGCAGGAAAATCACTCCGTGGAGTTCAGAGAAAGGGCTTGTTGATGGGGCTGGTAAATAGGAAGAGTGGGCATTCACTGGGCTCCTGAGAAGACAGACTAATAAATTTATTGTCTTCATTTGTGATAGTTCACGAGTATTGAAGTAATTTTACAAACACAGTAATTTTCATCTAGGTCTCAACTTACCAAAAACAATTGACTTTGTCCTGGGAAT